CAGACAACGCCCCTGGGCAAGCAGAGGCCGACGTTACCTTGCCACCTCCGGGCTGGTGCTTCAGGTTCTCAGTGGAGCCGATTTTGGACTTGACGTTTTTCAGGTCGGGCATGGGCGCGGCCGCGGGCTGGATGCGGCTCTTGGCGGCCGCGGGCGATTTCGGGGGGGTGCGAACCACTGCCACCTTCTTGGGCTCCCTGGCTGGTGGGGTGGGCAGAGAGGGAGTGCGGGAACGGCTGCCGGGAGTCCCGGGGGAGCCGGGACTGCTGTAACCGCTTCTGTCTCCGGACTTGGGCTGCTCACCTGAGGTTTGCAGACAGGGGGGAGGCAAGCACAGGGTGAGCCACCCGGGGACACCGCCCCTTCCCCGCTCAGCCCCTGTCTGTCCTCGTGGGCTTCGCCTGCCCGGCCCCAGGGCCCACCCTGCTGCTGACCATAGGCAAGGGTGAGGTGGCTGCACTGCCTTCTACTTCATTTGGAAGTGAACGCTGGGATTAAAGGCAATTCCCTAATGTCTCAGAAGGGAGGTGGTCTTCGTTGCCTGGATCGTTGGTAAGAGTCCCCACCCGAGCGTGGCATTTAGCATGCATGACAAATTACAAGCAAAAGACACTCAAGCAAAACCACTTTTCTATGAGAAATTTGGAATCATTTTTACAAAGTGATTTCATAGACTTCAGTAAGGCTGATCACTGAGCAGCAGAGAACTGTCCCCAGTCTGGAGAGAAATGGGAGAAGAAAAGAAAAGCCTTGAACATCACCTTTCTCCGACTTTGCTGCTGCAGGAGGTGGTTTTTTCTGCTCCTTTCTGCCTGTTTAATGAATGAGAAAGATGCTTAAACGTAATAAAGCTGGAAATTTAATTGACTGAATGTTTTATGCAGCTCTGGTTAAGTATGAAAAATACATATGTTCAATGAAATGCACTGTTTTAATGGAAATTCACAATGCCTGCTGTTTTCTGGGATTCTCTTCTCTGAGAATAATGGACTAATCTCCATTCCTGCAATCGAAGAATTGATCCTCTTGCCTCTGGTCTTTGTGAAATATTGCCAAAAGAAAAGGAATAGAGGGATTAAAAAAAATGAAGCTGCCTAAAACTTCCAGATTGGAGGAAACTTCAAAGAGATAAAGCAACTGCCCTCTCCTACACATTGGCAACTATACGAAGACAGAGCAGGACCCAGAAGGACTCACTGCAGAGGACTCATCCTTAGCTCTGCCCCACAGCCCGGCGATGGGGCAGCTCCCCATCACCACGCAGACCTCAGCCTGCCGCCCCTGCCCTCGCTCAAACCCCCCAAAACCACACGTGGAGCCTGGGAGCAGCACCCAAGCAGAGGCCAGGACCCCCTGGGGAAGGTGGGGGGCACTCACCGGAGCCAGGAGGGGTCTTGGGGGCCGTGGGTGCTTGGCGGGGATGCGCGTGGCGTTGGTGGAGTTCCTGGGCGCCTGCCCGCCCGCAGAGCGCGGCCCGCCCGTCTTCGTGCCACCTCTCATCTCCGGGCCCTGGGGGGAGAGGGGGAGAGGCCCGTGATGCTGGGGGGATCTGCACGGGGATGGGCTGTCACCCCTCACGGATCAGAGCCACAGGAGACCCTCCTGCTCCCCATGATGGTAGCCCCACAGGCAGGAAGCTGCGACATGCCCGTGCACGGTCCGTCTGCCACCACGCCGCCTGGCACGGCCACTCGTGGGCTGGCAGAGGGGCTGTGTCATGTTCCCATGGAAGCTCTCAGCTTCACCTACATTATCACACTCAGGCCTGCTTAAAAAGTATGTTCAGCTCCTTTGTTCTCTAAACTTTGCTGGTTTGTTTCCTTTGTTCTGCAAAAATTTTTGTATGGAAGATAAATAAATGTATCGACTACAAATAAATCCAAACAATAAATCCATTGAGAACAAGTGTGTGGAGGAGCAGCTGAGGGAGCTGGGGGTGCTGAGCCTGGAGCAAAGGAGGCTCAGGGGAGACCTTCTGGCTCTGCACAGCTCCTGACAGGAGCCTGGAGCCAGGGGGGGTCGGGCTCTGCTCCCAAGGGACAAGGGACAGGACAAGAGGAAACAGCCTCAAGTTGTGCTGGGGAGATTTCTGTTGGACATGAGGAAAAATGTCTCCATGGAAAGGGTTGCCAGGCCCTGGGAGAGGCTGCCCAGGGCAGTGGTGGAGTTCCCACCCCTGGAGGGGTTTCCAAGCCGTGGAGATGTTGTGCTGAGGGACACGGGTCAGTGGGGACCTGGCAGTGCTGGGGAACAGTTGGACCCCATGATTTTAAAGGTCTCTCTTCCAACCAAAACCATTCAAAGATTCTGTGATTCTGTGACCAGACCAGAGGCTGCACTCAGGAGCACTGTGCCAGGCTGCACACAGAGGCACCTCCTTTATCCCCACCTCTCACACACGACTGTGACAGGTACATCACCTGGAACAGCACAGAAATAGCAACATGCTATTTATTGCCTTCTGACCCTGCAGAAAAGCCTCCCCAGACCTATAAAATAACACACCTTTTTTTCAATGACATTCTAAAGCTGGTCTGTGCACAAAAGCTCATGAGAAACGTGCCAGTGCCAATTTACAAGCTGCCTGGTCCCAGGGCAGCAGAGAATGAGAGCAGAGCCATGGCAATCCCTCTCCCAGGAAAAACACATCCTGCATCCTGCAGCCTCCCTTCAGCAATCCTTGCTCTCCCCCTCACCAATCCCTGCTCTCCCCCTCACCAATCCCTGCTCTCCCCCTCACCACGGGGGCACCTGGAGGACTGAACACCACGAAGGGAAACTCTGAGCTACTTTTACCCTGCAGAATAACCAGGGTGTGTGTGTTTCCTACTCCCCGTGTAGCACCTGGCAGATCTGGCTCTGACACCTTTCAAATGCATCTGCTGTTGACAGCCAACACACCCCTAAAACAGAGCATAAAGTTGCAAAACAAAGAGGAGCACAGAAGAGCATACAGGGACTGGGAATGCCTCAGGGAGAGCAGGTAACACCCTACAGCAGTGGGGTGTTTTTTGCTGTAACATAGAGCAAGGAGCCTGCGTGCTGGGGAGATGGATCCAGCTGCTTCAGACACCCAAACTGGAGTCAAGTGTGGTCACAGCCACTGGAAGGTGATGAGGAAGCACATGGAATCACAGAATCACTATGGTTGGAAAGCATCTCTAGGATCATCAAGTCCAACCTTCATCCCAACATCTCCCTAACCACTAGACCACAGCCTCAAGTGCTACATCTACTCATTTTTTAAACATCTCCAGGGATGGGGACTCCACCACCTCCCTGGGCAGCCTGTTTCCAGTGCCTGACCACTCTTTCAGCAAATAAATTCTTCCTAATATCGAATTGAAACCTCCCCTGGCACAACTTGAGGCCATTTCCTCACATCCCACCCTCTGCACTGAAAGGGACATGGAGAGACTGCCCGGCCAAGCTCTACCCACCATCAGGCCTGCCAGGAACACCTGAAGGCACTCCCCAAGGCAGCTCTGCCTCTCTCACCTCCCATCCCCTTACCTTGGCTCTCGTTTCTTGTGTTCCTGTACTGGCAGGTCGGGATGTGACAGAGGAGACTCGTTTAGAGGTGGAAGCAGGGCTGGAGGGTGTTTTCGAAGGGGTTGTGCTAGAGGAGGTGTGTCGTTGGGGGGGGATGGAGCCTGGGGGTTTGGCAGTGGAAGGTGAGGATTTCTTAAACATGGAAACAAAATAAAATTGGAACAAAAAAAAAAACCACATCAGTATGGGAAGGAAACAAAAGGGGATCACCGACATGAAAGAGGCTTAGAAGGTGCAATACAGAAGGGGGTGTGGGGTGGCTGGTACTGCCCTCGCCCCGTGGCACAGAGCTGTGGGCTCAGGGTGCTGCTGGGTGCCACGGCTGCACCAGCAGGTTTGGGATCCCTCAGCTCTGCTCCTCCTCCTAGGCACAGCAACAGCCAAGCCCCTTTCTGGGGAGCCTGTCTCCCCGTGACTGCCTGCCCTTGTCACCACCCTTGTCACCACCCTCCACACCAGCAGCAGTTTCACCACCTGAACTGTGCTGTTTCCTCCCAAACTCTCTCTGTGCCCCACTGGCAAGGATGCTGCAGGTACAGCACTGTCAACACCTAGGTTTTGGGGAGATGCAGGCTGCTCCCAGGTCTCTCGACCCCCTCAGACCCCATCATAGCTGCTCTGTAATGACTGATGGCTGGGTTTTATCTAGAGGACCATGCCAAATGCCTAGCATCATACAGTCCTGCCAAATCTCCCCAGAGAAGGACCTGATTTCATATGGTTTGAAAATAATTATATGCCTCAACCTTTAATTCTTCACCCACTAAATTGTCTATCACCTCACCCAGGCACTAGCCAGGCTAATGACTGGCTGAACTAAACCTCCTCCCAATCAGCAGTGTGATAGAAATCTTTAAAATTCTGGAATCTACCCCCTATTAAACTCTCCTCCTCACCCAGTGCACCTGCAAGGCTTTGAGTATTTAATTGAATTTTTCAATTGCACATCTTGCTTTTTGCTGTTACACTGCTTGTCCCCAGTGCAGCCCAACTCAGTCTTGAGTTTGCTTTTGCACCAGTTTGCCCCAGCAAAGCCACCTGGCTGCTTTCCAAACTCAGGCTGAGGAATTATCTCTCTACCCCCTGACCCAAGCCCAGGAGTCACACGTTGGGCTCCCTCGCCCTCAAAGCCCTCCATGGATTGCACCATCCAAACCAGGGTGAGGGAAGGCAAAACAAAAACACTCTTGAAAGACAAGATGGAAGAAGGGAAGACAATGGGAAGGTTTCCTGAGAGGCACAGCCACAGCCCAGGAGAGCAGGGGAGGGAGGCAGGAACGAGCTCAGTGCTGGGTGGGTTGGTGTCACCTCTGGTTTGATTTTTTTGGCTTACCTTGGGTTTCTTTTCCTCAGCATCAGTCCCTTCCTTGTCTTTGCTGTCCACACGACCTGACAAACAGAGGCAAGCACAGTTATGCTTCTTGGGGCTGGTGAGTAGACTCCAGAGAGGTGATCACGCCTGCGCTGCAGCAACATGCATGCTGGGTGGGTGTCCCACGTCCCTGCCCTCCTTCCAATTAAATACCATTCCTGGAAATGTTAGAGCCACTCATTTCTTGTAGAAATCCCTCCCTGGTTTAAGCACATTCTCTCTGGGTTAATAGATCACCCTGTGCACAGGCAACGGTGCTTTAGTCATCGCTGGAGCATCAGATGTGTGACCAGGTTTGTATGAGACCATTTTGCCCAGATTTGCACTCAGGTCCAGGGGCAGCTGTTCAGGTTAGGACAGAACCAGTCTCCTCAGCACAAAATATGAGTCTCCCTCTCCAAAAAAACCCGTTGGCTCCAACAGTTGTATAAATAAAGACTAAAAGTGAAGGATGCCCCAGTCCTAGCAGCACCGGGTTGCCTGTGATCTCATTTAAAGCCAGCTTTCTGAAGCATTTTTCTACCTGGCTGTTGTTAATTCCCACCTCTCCTGACACACTGCTTCGATCTGGGTCAGGTCTTGCAGGTTCTGAAGGTTTTAGCTCTTGTCCTACTTGATTTATATCCAGTTTACAGGGATTCTGACAACATTGCTGTGTTTTGTCTCATTACTCTACGAGCATGACAGACTGCACTATGGCTAATTAGATAAGAAACAGGCAGAAAGGGAGGTCTGTACCAGAAGGCACTCCTAACAACATCCCTTTCCCCCACCTTCAGCTAATCAGGAACCACAACAACCCCCTGCAAAGCTCCACTCCAGGCTAGAGGAAGGGTAGCTGCAAAGTGCCTGGCAGACAAGGACCTGGGGTTGGTTGACAGCCAGCTGAAGATGAGCCAGCCTGTGCCCAAGTGGAAAAGAAGGGCACCAGCATCACGGCCTGAAAGAGCGATTGGGTGGACAACGAGAC